CCACTGACACCTTGGCACGGGGGCCCAGCTCCCACGACGATCAAACTTGCCTGCGAAAAATGAGTGGCCCAACCCTTTACCACCTCGGCATCCACCGTAGTAACATCCTCCCACATAAGGGAGGCAGGGTACTTGGATTCTGTAACCCTCCTGGCCTCTGCGTTCTCGACAGCAATGTGACCCAGCAATGGCAGCCGCGAGGCCTCCGCCGCAACTCGAAGTGCACCAATGCCATCGAAGAGCCCAATGGTCACCACCCCGCAAAAATCAAAGGGTTCAGGAAGGTCACCTCGCTGTGGCCTTTGGGAGGCTATAACTCCCCACGGGCTCAGGCCCTTGCTCCGGGTTACGCCTCCCCCCGTTGACGAAGCGTCACTGGCTGTAACCATCCCCTGGATCTCTGTACGGAAATCAAAATGTGCAAGGGGAACTAAACCCACAAACCTCAAGATCTCCATCTTGACCAACTCAGGAGTACGTGGGACGGATCCGTCTTTCAGACCTTCGAAGCTCTTGATATAAGACCATATGTGGTTCAGCGCCGAAAGGAGGGGCCTACGGAACATAGTCATATAAACGAAACCCCCTCCCACAATCTGAGCTTGTCGTTGCGTGCTAAAGGTAGAACTGGCTAATTTCAGCCCCAAAACCACATACTTCAGGATCTTGTCCACCTTTGGATTGGCAACGCCACGCACCCCGTCAACCACAGCTCCCTGTACTTCTGCCTGAGATTGAAGGGCCACAGCTTTCTTGGGGTGCCTTGGGATGTTCCATCTTGCATACGCCTCCTGAAGGGCCAACACAGTAGGAGTCAACTCTCCCTTCAACGTGGCGGCTAGGTCCTTGTTCACCTTTGTGAGCTCGTCAAAATTGTCCAAACAAATACGGAACATGTTGCTAGAAGAAGGAAAAGGCTTGTCACGCCTCAACTCCTGATCCCCTCCATTTAGGCGACCTGAGTTCATCAAGCCCTGCCGCAAAACATACCGATGTACATGTTGGGCAATGCTCACAGAATTCTTGAAACCCATAGGAAGAACCGTCGCCGCCAGGTAACATGTACCAGATTTCCCTTCACAGAGGCTTTTAGGCAAAGGGCGGTTGAAAGCCATGAACCTATGCCAAGAAACGGGTACTTTAAAAATGTAAAAGAAACATCTCACGTCCTCGCTTGAAATGAGAAGGTCCTCATCGATATCCAGCGACAGTGGTCCCATGGAACTCCACGAAGGAAGAGTAGCAATGTCGCCCTCAATACCCCGACAAATACGATTCAAGGGTATCAAGTTCATGATGAGCCGGTGGACCTCAATCTCGCCTGACCAGTCGCCCTTCGAAACCCCGAAGAGACCATTCAACAAGGGCTTGTCCTGAACGTGATAAACCTCTGACTCCTCAATAACTTTGCAAATACCTCGTTGAACCAGGTTTGTTGCGAGCTCCTCCCAATCCCCGGGAGGAACCATGACCTTTGGCCCTTTCGTGAACACCTGGTCCTCAACCGGGAGAAGATAGTTCTCGAAGTTCTCAACATAATGTTTGCACCCTGCATCACAAACGTCAGAAAGGGCGACCGTCCCAACTTCCGAGGGCAATGCAGGGGATAACATCTCCCAAGAAACCGCGCGTGCAACTTTGACCTCTTCTCCTTGATAATCAACACCTTTGACTCTGAAGAACTCACCCCAGTCCAGGAACTCCGCCTTTTCCAGCCACCGACCAGCGGCGCACGCTTCATCCATGAGACCCCCCAAAAGCCGCTGTTGGCAGGTCCCATCTCCAACCATAAACACTGGGGAGCCATTAAGATGATTCAATGACCAAATCATGTTCTGAAGAATGCTCAACTCCTCGTCCTTCTTGTTCGGGAATAGTTTCTTGAGGGAGCAAAAGGCTGATGGCAAGGGAAAGATGTTGCCAATGGACTTGGTCATGCAGCTTGAAGACAAATATTGAAACAGCGATGCTCCCAAATGAACTGCTCCCTCACCAAAAGTAAGGCCCCCCAGCATCTCTCCTACTCCCGTCGGCCCGAGGACAGAGGCAACATCCCCTGGCTAGGAGCGCTATTGGCTCCCATCATGCACGGCAGTACCTCAATTCTTCCACCATTCACTCCTGATTTGCGGTCTGTCATCTTCCGAGGGACGCTGTGGTCCAAGGTCTCATCCTCCTCTGTCATAGTCCGGTTCTCACCTCTCCCATTCTTAGGAGATCTCCAGGCTGGCACTTTCTCCTCTTGGCTGACTCCTGCCTTACTTACTTCTTCTCCGCGCCTTTTGATCCCTTCTCCTCCTTGCCTTTCTTGCTCTTGCCTTTGCCGTCTCGTCCTTTTCCTGGCTCTCGCCAACCACCCTTCGGTTGCTGCTCCCTCCCAGGAGCACCTTTTCCAGGACGGTGCTTCAGCTGAAACTCCATGGCGCGATGGCCCGAGAAGCGTTCACCCTGGCCTATGGTGCGGACCTCCTGGCCCAAGGGAGGGTCGCCGAGGCGATCGACCTGTTGCTGCAGCGCCTGAAATCGTTGGAGCAGGTCTCTCAGGGGATGCCGTGGCAGACTGCTCAGAAGATGGAGCTGTGCCCCTTGGAGACAGCTCAGGTAGCAACCCGGGCGGAGGCTGCGATCGCGATAAAGGAAGCCCGCGGAGAAGGTGCCTGGCAGAACCCTGAAATAGTGCACTCCCACCGGCGCCAAAGCTCTGTTTTGGCCCCACAGCTGCCCTGAAGCCGCGACCAACGACTTCTTCATCTCGTTGATGGACGCCGCTGCCAAAACTCCTGGGCCTCTTACTCCAACTCTCCTGATCCTCTGCGCCTCCTCGAACACCCCCGCGTCCTCCTCCTCTGTCGACTCCTCTCCCGAAGACTCCCGATCGGAGGTGTCCATCTGTCTCTGCAGCAGCCTCAGGCTTTTCTTTACCTTCCTCACCACCTGTCTCCTCACCTTGACATCCGGGTCCATCCCGGCGTTTCCAAACACGGCGCTCAGCTCCTTTGTTGCTTCGACCTTTACTCCTCTCTTCGCCTTCTTTTTCTTTTTCTTCTTCTTCTTTCTCCTCCGGCTGGATGAGCTGGTTGAAGAGCTTGACTCGCTTCTCGCCCTCTTCTTCTCCATACCTCCTGTCTCCTTTTCCTTTACCCTCTTGCTCTTTCTTCCACCCTTCAAATCCTCCTTGTCCAGCTCGTTGCCCCTCTCTCTCAAGGCCGCCATGTCGTCCACCTGAAACGGCACATGCCCCACCAGGTTGTCCAGCCACGCCTCCCCTGCGCCTGGGAGGCGAAGCTTGACTTTCTTCACGTGGACCAGCCCGTCCTCGCATAGGCCTGCCACGCAACCGTCCCCGCACATGTGCAGCTTGCATCGGCTCGCTGGGTTCCCTGTCGACCACTTCAGGAGGTCCTCGTTCTCCGTGCCCAACAGCCGAACCTCCACGACGACCCCTGCTCCGTCCTCTTCGACTCTCTCCACTGTTCCACATAGCGTCACGGGGGCTTACCAGTAGTTGCCTTCAACCACGATCAAGCTCTGGCCTGGCCTAATCAAATGTCTTGGCAACTCCACAACGTTCACACTCTCCCCTCTCTCAAACCTCTCTTCAACTGGAGCCACCTGTCTACCAGCCGGCCTCCTCAACACGGCCGGATCCTCTCTCTCTTCCTCCCCAGCTGGTCTCCTTCGGACCCTAGGAGGAGCCACCGGCAGCCGGGCAAGGGCTCTAGCTCTCCCTTCGCAGCCGCTTCAGCCTTAGCAGCTCCTCTTCTGCCGCCCACCTTCGGAGGCATCAATCTCCTCGGCCTCCCCAGTGCTTTCCACCACCTTTTCCTTTTCCTCCACCAAAGCGCTCTCTGAACCTCCTCTGCTGCTCTCTTTTCTTACGCCCTTTGTTCTTTCCTCTCCTGTCCTCACCTCTGTACTCCTCTCGGGGCCGGATCAGCAGGTCCTCGATGAAGCCCCCCGAAAGCCTCCGTAAAGGGGACCGGCTGAGGTTCCTCTTGATCTCCTCCTTCTCTCTGCTGTCTGATGCCTCCTCTCTCCTCTCTTCACCTTCAGCCCGTTCCTCAGTGGCCTCCTTGCTCTTTGCAATAAGCCGCCTGATGTGCCCCTCACTCGAAGTGCTCCTATGCCTCCTCGCTTTATCCTCCTTGCTTGATGACACCGGAGAGGTGGGGGTCCGATGTCTGGCTTTTCTTGGGCGCTCCTCTTCGTCCTCGCTCGCGGCGGGCTCCTCCTTGACCCCCACAGACCCTCCAACCTGGTGCCACGGAAACTCTTCCCTTCCTCTTTTCGATTCCTTTCCTCCCGGACTCCTGGTGACCTCTACGCTCTCCTCACGTTTCCCCCTCGATGACCTAGACCTCTTCCTTTTCTTCTCCTTCTCCCTCTTTTCCTCTTTCTTCCTTTTCTTCTTCTCCTTCACTCTCTCCTCACCGGCCTCTTTGGCCCCAGCAGCCTCTGCCGCTGAACCTGTGTCGGAGGCCGGGGGGACTGCCAGGTCCCCCGGTCCTCCCTCAAGAGCTCGAGCTCCCGCTGGAGATGCTCCCTCGGAAGGAGCACCTCCTACCCCTCCCGTCCCAGGAGGGGTTGCTGCAGGGGGCTGGGTTGACAACCAGTGATCCCGATCCCGAAGGTCCAGGATCTCCCCCTGCAGCAACCTCACACGCTCGAGGGCCCGGCTCCAGAAAAAGTAGGAGCTAGACCCTCGGCACAGGTCCCTGACCCTGCTAAGGGTCAGGCACAAGTCGCACTGGCACACTCCTTCGGAGGAGTGGCCAGTGGCCATAACCCGCAAGCCGAAATCTGGCGGAACGCAAACCTAATTCATCTTTACATACCGGGGCGTTACATCATATTGCATTTACAACTACACCACAGAACATTACATACACGTCCCAACACATCAAATTGCATTGCACCGCATTGCGAACACATTGCAAACGTTGTGCAACATGTGCTTGTTGTAGAGTGCCACCTTGGAACCCTCCCTGCCGTCAAATGGCACCGTAGGCATCCATAGCGCCGCCACAACCTCGCGCGCCAGCTGCAGGATCTGCCACTTGTCGGAGGCTCCCTTCTGCCAGTGCTGCAAGCGGCTCAGCGCCTGACAGGTGCGATCACAAATCCAAACCTTTTTTTAAGCCCACTGTCAATCTGATGGTTCAATACCCAGTCCGCCTTACCAGGCACTCCAGCTCCGGGCCTCAGCCCGATTTCGCCGGCGAAATCAGCCGAGGCATTGGGCTGATTGGACCCTTTGAGATGGTATAGGGAACCTACTCCGGCGCAGGTGGTGTCAAGTTCCACGTAGACGTTGGGGGCCTTACCACCGAAACAAGTTGCTTTCCCTGCTGATTTGCAGTGGACAAGAGTTTACATCATCATTTCAGAGTTCCGACCTAGCCCAGCTGAAGCGTTCAAAGGGAACGTGCAGCTGGTAGTGTTGGGAATATCGCCTTGACTGGTAAAAGCCTCCACCTTCACCGTGAGCCCATCAATGCGCGAGACTGGGCAAGTCTGCTTTGTTCCAAGTGGCCCAGCTTTCGAAGCCATGGGTGCATAGGCATCATCTATGGATCATCTACTTCTGTTGGCATGTCATGTGAAAGCTTCTGGCTGAAACCTAAGAAGCGCATTATTTCCAGCCAGTGGCTCAACATCATGTTTGCATTCTGCAACAACAGAGCGTGGTTCTGTTTTACTCTGACGTCGTGAAGTCGAAAGCTGAGCCAATGCATTCGAGCGAGACTCATCTCTCTTGAAGGCCTTGGCGAGGCAGAGTGAGCGCAAAACAATCCGGCCGCCAGAATTGTGACTTGGTGACTTGGCAAGCAAATCCTTGATGCGAGCACGCATGGCTGAGATCAGTGAAACCTGCGCTCTTCCCGGAATTGGATGACGGCAGCAAATGCGCCGAACCCAAGCCGAATAAAATGAATGAATGGACTCCTGGAGAATACATGAACGAACGAAGGGAGGGAATGGAATGGAATGGAAGGGAATGGAATGGAAGGGAATGGAATGGAAGGAAAGGGAATGGAATGGATTGGAATGGAAGGGAATGGAATGGATTGGAAGGGAATGGAACGGATTCGAAAGTAAGCAAGTAACGAATGAACGAACAACGAACGAACAAACAAACAAACGAATGCTCGAATAAAGATGGAAAGACGGAAATAATGAAATAATGAAAGAATGACAGAATGAAAGAATGGAACGGAATTGAACAGAATGGAACGGAATGGAATGGAACGGAATGGAATGCAAATCAATAAAACAAATGAAATATGTAAAATGAATGAAATGAATGAAATGAATGAAATGAATGAAATGAATGGCATGAATGATTGAAATGATTGAAATGATTGAAATGATTGAAATGAATGACATGAGTTATTAAATGAATGAAATGAATGAAATGAATGAAATGAATGAAATGAATGAAATGAGTGAAATGAATAAAACCAAAATGGCATGACACGAAATGGAATGGAAGGGAAGGGAAGGATGGATGAATGCATGCAGGGAATGTATTGGTTAATCTACCCTGTGCTCACTCCAGCTGACACGCCACACCTGAGGTGTGCAACTCCCTGCAAATCTCTCGGTTCTTTCACCAACATTGGTCCTTTTTGTTGGCCAGCACGAGCACCGGAGCGTCATGCAGCTCCTGAGACTGTGCATGGAGTTGCCTGCTGCTTCACATACCGCACCGAGAGGCCTCTCCGATGTCATGTCATGTCATTTGACTTCGGGCATCGAGCCTCAGCTGGCCCTCAAGGGATGGCTTGAAGTGATAATCTCTATGCACCGCCTTGGTGACGAAAGCCGACCATATGCCCTCGCGCTGTTGAAGAAAAGAATGCGAATTGGTCAAAACTCTTTGAGATGGGCATTGGCGTCCTTGCTGCGGCCCTCACAATGAATGATCCTCGGAGTTCCCTACGCCGTCGCGGTCTGTGACCGTGCCAACCAACACGTAACAGGGTGTTGACCAGGCGTCGACCCTTTAAACTATATACATATATATATATATATATGTCTCAACCGATATCCTGGCTTCCATTCACCAGGGCAACCCCCATTTTCGGCTTATCCGATTTTTGTTGACCCACAGCCCTTGGGTTGAAACCGGCTCCCTTTGGCTCCCTTTCGCTTCCAGGCCCGGCCCAACCAGCTCTCCTCCTCGCGCAGGAGAGCTTGGAGGGCTTCGCGGGCTGCTGGAAGCCTGCTCAGAAAGCCAGCGAACCCATCTGCGTGTTTTGCTCGTCCCCTGGGAAAAACGGGGAATGTATGTGTGAAATCGGGTCCCTTGAAAAAACTGGGGAAAAATAAAAGGATGTTCTGAACCAAATGGAAGGAACCCCAACTCAGGGAGAAGCCCACAGCTCGCTTGCAATGTCTTTCAAGCTCCCGACTTGCCGTGCCTTTCATGATCTGCACTATCCAGCACAAAGATCAAGGCATTGCCACCCTGCAAAGTCAAGCACACTCAATGCAATGAGCCATGGCAGGCAGAGTCGGTTTCAGCACCGTACTCTTGAAAAGCCGGCAATGACATGGGCCTTCATTTATGGAAACCACAGTTCCACAAGTTATACAAGTGCTCTCCCAATGTGAGCCACCAGCATCGACAAAGCTTCCTTCCGCCTGTTCTGCCCTGAACGTGCCTTGTAGTAGTGCCGCCAGAGGTTTCGGAGCTTCTCTTGGCCTGTGCCCCGTCCCGCGGCTTCGCTCATCTGATGCCGTGCCGAGTGCCGAGTGCCGCACCGCCCACGTCCCAAACGCACAGGCTGAGGTTGCCGTATTGGACCTCCGACGCAACCAGAGTCAAGGCGACGTCATGTGCTCGAGCGGGATGGTTGTAGCAGCTGTAGCAGATTTGCCCAGCATCAACGCCTCAAGGTCTCTGAAGCACTCCATGCTGGCGAGCGGCTGTTTCCACGTTGAAGCCGATGGTCGGGACGGTCCTGTGAGTTTCGGTTTGTTCCCGGGCGCCAGGGTCCAGAAAGGGGACTGACGGGCCATACCTCTGCACAACTCTCACTAAATTGGCCAGCTTGTGTTTGGAGCGCTTTCCATGTGGATAACGTGCGCATTGGCTGTTGTCTGTCTTAAAATTCTGTGAAAAGAGTTCGTGCAGATTTGGAGTTCGAGCTGAAACCCTGTCTCGCCAGCCAACTTTGACCACAACAATGCTCATATGCTGCGATTCAAGCTCGGGGAAGAAGCAATATGTTGCGGCACATTTTAGCCGAAGCTCGAGAGAACCTCTCCAATCTTCAGCTTGTACAGGATGGTAGTCTTGCCAGCCTGGAACTTGGATGTGACAGTCCCTTGCACGTGGCATGCGGTTTCCGGAACAAGTCTTCCCTAGAAAGCGTCTGAAGATCTGCGATGTATGTTGCCATGGCAATAAGTTGGTTGCTCCAATCTGTCCATGCCAAACTCTATTGTCAGTGGGCTCTTGCTAACTCTCTCAGGCCTAGTTCCTCCATATGTTGCAATGTCGAGCTGGATTAAGCAATCTGGTGAATTACTAGGTGGTGTTCCCCACAATCGTGAAGGACCCCGATTCATCGAACTGGGGCTTATCATTTTCAGTCCAAGGCTCCCGTGTGGGGCAGTGCTTTTGAGCGTACCCTTTTGGGGCTTGGCCGGGAAACCACTGGCACTGGGAAACCAACTACTTGTTGATGCCCTCTATGTTGACACAAACCCATTTTGCTTCGTCCGAGGCACTGCATCCAGGCCCAGCATCAGGACATTGACCTCCTTGGGGCCCCATATCAGCTGCCAGAGTCGACCGAAAGAGAGGCCCATACTACCTGCGCTGTGCCATCGAAGTCTTGTGCCATCAATCCCCATGGTCATTGGGGCTCATGGAGTCATGGTTCCCTTAACAATCCTACCACGGTCGAAAGTCCCGATTGCTTTGACTACCAGGGGGTTTTGGCAGTGACATCTGTGCGTGGCTGTGCCAACGCCACCCCGCCTAGGCAGAAGGAAACCCCAAGCGCTACTTGAGCCAGGCACTTCCGCCAAGATCTTCAAAGATGGCTCCCAGCTTGAATGGTGGTGCACCAATCATCTCCCTCAAAGGCATCATTCCAGCTTTCCCCGACATCGCCAAAGCTATAGCTTTCACGACCCTTGGTGTCCTTTTGACCTATGTTCACGTCATGTTGTAGTGATGAGAAAACTGGAAACTGCACCCTCAAACATGATTTTGACCCAGGACGAATAAAGCTATGTTTCATCATAGACGGTGTTGGACAACGCCTGGCCGGTCTCTCCCAATTGGCACCAGTTCCTACGCCGGGTGCCCGGCTGACAAAAGAGCGGATCCGCCAGGTTGTCCACGGTATGCTGGCCCGGGATAGTGTCAGCAGTGTCGACTAAAACGTCAAGGATGGCAGCCGTCCCCTTCCGCAAGAAAAGTTGGCTTCCATTGGAGCTGGCGGCTTCTTGTGAGACAACGTGTCGGGAGGGCTGCATCTACTGCTCTGAACAAGCTTCTTTCTTTGGTGTCTGGACAAGCTCAATTGACTGACTGACCTGCCACTTGCACAAGCTATGCAGCGCACCCGCCAGTAGCCAGTTGTCCGTTGGGAGCTGTTGTCCTGAACCGATGAGAGTCCAAGTTCTGCACGGACTAGCATGAACATCAGCAGCATACCGCGCCTCATTGGAAAAGACCGCGGCATAGCCCAGCTTAAAGCCGCAGGCAAAGGGCACTGGCTGCGTCACCGAGTCCTGGACAGCTAGCGGTGCAATCATGGCGCACTTTCGGCAAGTCCTCAAACCGCACGTGGAAGTTGGCGATGTTCACCTGGCCACTGAAGTTTTTAGGTTCATGCCGACGGATTCATCAACCTAGTGGATTGAAGGTTCCCAAAGAGAAGGATCCGCTCCTAGCTAGACAGGGGGGTATTCATTACAACACAAGGGACATGCCTGTGACACACTCACAAGGCCCAAATCGCCTCGATCATCTCAGCCACCTTCTTCATCAGGTCTTGCTTGATGCGGGTCTGAATATCGCTGAGCCACCCGGTGGCTGTCTCCTGCTTCAATTCTCTTCGGATGCCATGATAAAACGGGAAGCACAATGCCAAGATGTATGCAATGCAAAGCACAATACTCTAGGATAGTTTCCACCACCCACCTAAACCACTACCCCCTCCCCACCCCCACCCCCAAAAAGTATCATACATGTGTGTATATATATAATATATAAATGGTCCCGTGTCTATGGTCCTGGGGTCCCACCCACCTTCCGGGAGGGGCAGGGTTCAGAGGTTGTGATAAAAATCATGTTTCCGGGCCCCCCCTCCCCCCCCCTGTGGAGTCGTGGTGGGTGACTTTTCTGTTGCAAGCATCGGGTGCAGTAGAGGCTATATTAAAATGAAAGACGACCCTGCCAGTAAATGAGGATCGGGAAAAAGTCTAGGGTTTATTTGCCGATAGGGCCAACGTTTTTGAACGGACCCCCCCCCAACCCCGCCTCCCCCCCCCATACCATACCATGGGGGGGTGGGGCGGTTGTAGTGGTTTAGACTGGGTTTAGGGTTGATCTAGTTGTAGTGGTTTAGGATGGCTTAGGGTTGGATTAGAGTGTGCTTAGTGTTGGTTTAAGATATGTGTTTAAAGTTGGTAAAAGGTTGTGGTTTACGGTTGGTTTAGGGTTGACTAAGTTGGTTCCGGCTTGGTTTAGAGTGTGTTCAGAACGTGTCAAGTGCTGGTTTAAAGATGTGTGGTTCGAGCTAGTTTAGGGTTGGTCTAGGCTTAGTTTAGGGTTGGTTTGGGCGCAGGGCGTGCCGAGGTGTGGGTTTAGGGGGTGAAGGGGCTGGGGTTTGGGGACCGCAGTAGCAGGGCTTCTCGTGAGGGTCTGGGTTCTGGGGGGGGGGGGATACCATTGGGGGGGGGGACTGGGAACCGAGCCCGGGACCATATATGGGTGCGGCTCAAAATTAAACAGCTACGGTTACGCAGGTTTTAATCTTTGGTTCCATTTACCAAGGTGCCATTTTGGTACATTTATTTGAGCCACAGCCATATGGGTTTATACCCTTTAACTTTAACTATTGTTTCCTGCTGGCCATGCTGTGTGGGTATGCCGCTATTGCTTGGAAGCACTGATGATAAAGGAGAATCGAGCCCTGCTTCACGGTGCCACGCAAAGCTCAGCGTTATGCTGCACAGTGCAAAACCCGTGGCTTCGTCTCCCGAAAAATTGCTCAAGTTAAGTGCCTCATGTGCTACAGCTGATGATGCTGATGCTGCTGATGATGACAACCACGACAACCACGATGATGACCCGATTTGGAAGCCCGCGGACTTGCTCCTGCCTTCAACCACCCGCACTCGAAGCAAATTGAAGTGGTGGGCAAAGCTTAGTGGTGAAAGTTCACAAACATTGGCGTCGCCATACTGGTTGATTCTTGCAATCGCACGAAGGTCGTGGGCAAATCGGGCGTTGTGCTTCACAGACACAAAGCGCCTGATATACCCAAGCTGTGAACAGTTGGAAGCTGTCGAGCGACTTTGCTCTTTCTGTGCTCGAGCCCAGGCCATTCCTTGGTGACCGAGTTGGGAAACACGTAGGTCACTTCTTCCTGCTCTGATGTTTCTTCTTTGTAACTGTCTCTTCTACGAACCGGATGCCCGCCAGATTGTACCAGCTTGCTCCTCTTCACCAACAGGCTTCCGACAAACGCAGGGCAACTTCGATACCAAAGGCAATAATGCAGCAATAACAAGCGCAGCACTTGCAGCACGCCCACTCACAGGCGTCATGGCACTCGCGTCTAATGCAGTCTTTCTTGCGAGATTCCTCATTTCAGGATGTGCCAACAGGATGTTAAGTTCAAGTCGGTAGCATGCGATATGTCGACGAATGTTGCTGTCTCAATCGATTGGGAGTATCTTGATCCACAGCCAGAACCCTCTCATGGTCGATTCCTCATCAACGAGGGTGTGCTCATTCGCATCAGGCTCATGTTGCTTTTGGAAGACTTGTAAGTGATGCCTACCTTTCTTGGCTCCATGGCATTTTGCTGGAGCATTAGGCTCCATGGCAGATCTCTCCGGTCCAGAGCCGCCGGCCTCCAGCGCCACCGGGATCCTCAATGAAGATGTTTTCTGCTGGAAGGGCCCGGCTTTGAGCTGGCGAAGTGGGGGGTGTCGTGAGGGCCGAGCTTGAAACTCTGCTCCATGGCAGGGATGCCGAAGCTTGGGCACGCGGATGAGTTGAGGCACTGATGATGGACGAAGAATCCCCTATTCCGAGTTGCATTGCTGCGAATTCAGCGGCATGCCTCAGGTGAGAAGTGGCAGAGGCAACGGGCTGCTGATTCTGAGGCGTCTTTCATCTGAGGCGTCTTTCAAAAGCTTCTTTTTCAGACAGGCGACACTTGTTTGTGTCTTCGGGCACTTTCCACTTTGTTGCTCTTCTCGGACAAATCCACAAAGGCGAAACTTTGACTTTCCCCGACCAAACGGCGACATTCCCCGACCAAAGGGCGACTTTCCCCGACCGTGTTTCCCGCCAAAACTGAAACGAGACTGTTGCTGTGCAACAGCGTTTTTCGACCAAAGGACTGACATTTGAGTTTTTTCGGCAAACGGCGGGAAACATGCACAGCTGAATCTGCCGGAGGTTGTGACCAAGTAGTGGTGTGGGGCAGTGAAACAATCTTATGTGCATGTTCCAACCCCCCCAGCATTTCCTCAGCTGCTCGGCGCTTCTTTGCGGGCTTCAGCTCCTTGGCGGACTCAACTTGGCAAGGCTGTTACTGCGATTCACTTCTTTGCCATACAGGCCATGCACGTTGATCTTATGTGCCAAGGATGTGACAAGCTCCACAGGCTTCCAGTTCAGTGACAGGAGCTTATTCAACGCAAGTGGCAGCGTGGTAAAACGAAACCTCATTGGCCAAGGATCAAGGATCTTCATGACCAAGTCCACGATCTTCGATTTGCACTGCGGCGGACTCATAATGGAAATCACGCAAATTGGTTTCGACGAAAAGGCTGCACATTCAACCAGGCCTCTCACACAAACCACTGGCGCATTTTGCACTGGCGACTTGCGCATGGCAGCTTGCGCAATCCAGGAGTTCTTAAAATAGCTAGTGATGTGACACCTTCTGCCTCTAGCTCGAGTTGCAATTTAGAACCTACCCTGGATGGTTCTGCATGGCGACAACTGGCCTCTTGGTGATCCTATTCGCAACACGCTGGCAAAGTCTTCCTGCCTGCTTCACATGGTCATAGGACCAATCTGTCGTTTGCGGGCCGAAGAGCAGGAAAACATTCTTGATGAGAATCTGGAGGGAGACCTGACACAATCATGCCAAGCGCCAAGCTCCTGAACTCTTTCGGCAGCTTATATGTATGGTTTAAAGGTTTAAAGGTACAGCATGAAAGGTGGCGTCAAGCTACTAGTTTGTTTCGATATTGTTGTTCTTGCAGGTCCAATCTTGTCTTGAATGCGGCTGTAGAAAACGGCGCGCTAGCGCTTGTAACGCTAGGTGTAGGTGCCAAATAAACCATCGAGAAGAAAGAACAACATCAGGGAGATTCTGCGTGGGGATTCTGAGTACTTGGGGAATCCACGGTATGCAGAAATCTCCGAGCGCGATGCATTGCCGCCACGATTGAAGACATCAAGATGCAAATGGATTGACCTGCAAGGCACTGCATTTGTCTCAGAGGTGAACCCTCAAACTGGTTGCCAATTGCTACATGCTCTGGCAAATGTGACGGTCTCTCAGTTTCCATGTTTCAAGAGTCGGGTCGCTTGCTCCTCTCTTCGCTGGCAGCACCCAGGTCCCGCCCGAGAGCAACCAGCTGGGCATCTGGGCACCCCGGCAATTCATCGATGAAACCTCCTCGTAGCGTCACAGGCAGGTGCAGGCCATCGAAGGCTTGGCCGACGATGGAGGCCTCGTGCGTAGTGCGCGTGTGGATAGAGATGTGCATGGGCATACGCAAGGCGGCATGTGCATGATCTCCCGAACAGTAATCACAATGACAATCATGAATAAATGTTTCCCGGAAACTCCCAAGTCTGCAACACTTAATTCAGAATTTAAATACGCCAACTCTAACCCAATATTAAACTAGTGAGAATGCTTGGCGCTTTCCCCGCCCTCGGACCGCAAATCCCGCTGCATTGGGAAGCCCAATACTAAAGCAAGAACCAAGACTCAACTTGCACAAATCCGCAAAATGTCACCGATGTCTGCTCTTTCACTTCCTTCCTCAGCGTTTGGTACGACTTTTGGGCCCGGATTCTGAAGAGCGCCGAAGAGCACTGAAAAGGACTGAGCCCGAGGAACCGCAAAGGACCGAACCGGAGCTCAGGCTCCGCTAATAATCCACCCACCCCTTCTTCACAGGGTGCCGGGGAACGACGGAATGCGTAGAACACGCGCAAACAGCCAAAACTCCCACGCCAAACTACGTAAACTATTAAATTGACACCATCAGCATCCCATGGCGGCTACGAACAGTACATGCGCACGTGGGGATTACTTACACAGCTTCTGGGACCAGATCTTCTTTGTGTTTAGCGAAGGTGTGAGTCTGTTCTGGGCATCTGGGGCTCGATTCCACCCTGGCACGGGCGACGAGGGATGCTGGGGGTCTCAACTGGGGATGACGGGGAGGGAGCCTTTGACTTATCTACAGGATTTGCTTGTTTTCCTTAGACACTGTTTACCGTCTTACGCCCCAACAGGGATCAAATCCTATTGCTGCTGAGCTGAATATGTGCATCAATCTATTGCTGGAAAATTATGGAGCTATATTCCACCTTCGGACATTCATACATACGCAAATACACATTGCATGTGTATGCCGGTCAAAAACCGCAAGTGTGTTTCTTGCATAACTGTGACAGCAGTGCCTGCATGCTTGGCACATGTACACAACGAACAACAGTGCGTGGATGCGTCGCACATATTGAGCACACGGACAACAGTGCGTGCATGCTTGGCACGTGCAAAGGACACGGACAACAGTGCATGCATGCTTGGCACATGTCAAGCACGCGGGCAAGAGTGCGTGCGTGCTTGGAACATGTCCAGCACACACACACACACCCACGCACGCACGGACAACAGTGCGTGCATGCTTGCCAGGTGCAAAGGACACGGACAACAGTGCATGCATACTTGGCACATGTCAAGCACGCGGGCAAGCGTGCGTGCGTGCTTGGAACATGTCCAGCACACGGACAACAGTGCGTACATGCTTGGCACGTGCAAAGGACACGGACAACAGTGCATGCATGCTTGGCACATGTCAAGCACGCGGGCAAGAGTGCGTGCGTGCTTGGAACATGTCCAGCACACGGACAGCAGTGCGTGCGTGCTTGGCACATGTTAAGCACACGGGCGTTATATAGTCACACGGACAAAAGTGTGTGCAGGCTTGGCACATGTGAAGAACGCGATCAACAGTCCGTGCATGATTGGTACATGTGAAGGCACATGTTGCGCACGGACATGTAAGAAGCGCAAGGTTCGCAGAGCATGCACGATGTGGACCACGAGGTGTTGGAACACTAAAAACAAAGTACCGCGGCTGTGTGGCAGGCGTAGGGTCTGAGAAATGAGCTACAACCCGTTATCGAATTCGAATGGTCTTAGCATGAATACGGTGTTCGTCTCAGGGGAATGCTTGTTTCTATGAATCCCACTGTATCTGCATTGACAAATGGTGCCCAGTTGCAGCACAAGAGCTGCGACATGCCATTCATGTGACCAGCTGTCAAGGCAAGCGCTCCTCGTCGTCAATTCACCCGTTCGGTTGTCGCACATATATGTGCAAAATCAGCATGTACATGCGTAGCCTATGCATGTGGGCATGCATGCCTCAAAATGGATTGTACGAAGAAACGTGCATATTTGGCACACAGTCAGCAAACAGACTCAGTGAGAAACTTCCGCCATGTACGGGTTTGAGAAGGAATATGAAATTTGGAAAGATTGAAGAGACCAGACAAAGATAAGAAAGCGATGCTCGGTGCTCGCTCGCTCAGCGCAGTTTCAGCAACGATCCTGAAAGTTCTCAGCTTTGCAGTCTGAACAACTCGCTTGTTTTTTGCGCCTTCCCTTGATCAAGCCTGTGCAGACTTGGGGGTCTGCCTTCCAAAGCTTCTTACTTGCCTCTCTGGGCTCCGCTGAGAAAGCAACCACGACTAAGCAATTAAGTAAAAATGCAGTACGCAGTACACCTTGTACCTTGCACGCGGCTGCGATGCGGGTACGGGCGGGCGAGGTGTGAGCATGGGCTCCCGAGCCTTCTTCAAAACGAACTGCCCGGTGGCGGCGTCGACGCGGAGATTGCCCGCGTCAACCTGTTTTCAGCGCATCGTGCTCAGAGTCAAGTCACATCAATTGTGCTGCCAAGTCTCATCTCTGTAAGGTACCATGTTCTTGCTGGAAATAAATCTGCAATCTTGTGATTGGTTTAGCCGCCCTTTTGATCCTCTTTAAAACCCTTCGCTTTTTTTTGGCAGCTTCTCGCTAGGGGAAGCCTGGCTGCCACTGCCCAAGATCAGCCACTCGCAGCTCGTGATTTGGCGGCCTTCAGGAAGTCACCTACTTTCTTGTCGAAGAACTGCTTGATGATGGCCTCGGCAAAGCGGCCAAGCAGCACAAAGAAACCAGAGGCTTTAGCTTCCTCGTGAAGGGTGACATGTTTTTTCTATGCGCAAATACTCAGCATGCGCAACTGCATGGCCAGCCTACAAAGTTGTGATTGCTGGAGAAGAATTAAGCTGCAACTGGGAAAGTTCTTTCACCCAGGCCAAACGTGAATAAGGAATATCCCAATATGATGTCACTGTGCATATACTCCGAAAAGCTACTGGATATGGTTCCATCATTGCTGAGTCTCTGCGTCCGCCACCTGCTTGCATTTGCAGTTTAATTTCTTTGCCATCCACTGCTCGCAAACATCGAGCAGAACCACGGCTTCCCATGAAGCAGCTGAGGCCTCCACATCCATATGATTGATGAGAACCCTTCAGGTTGCTCATCTGCCATCTAGGGCGCAAGGGCGGCGGATTGTCCGCTTCTTTGGCCCGCCTAAGGCAGTCATGCACTTGAAGCAAGGAAACTCTGCTGTGTGCAAGGCCATGTATGCCCAGCATATCCGCGTGCCAAACACGCGAACTGCCAGAAGTCCTAATGCTAGCGTCTGCTTTGAGTACACGCTGAGACTGCTCACGTGGCTGTTTCGCATTTGCCTCGGCGTATGTCGCCAGGCCTGACACTCGGCCGTGCGCCTCTGACATGAACCTGATGTGAAGCTGCGGCAGTTCTCCCGCTCTCAAAGTGACCTTCGCATCGCTAGGAATCGCATCCTTTAGGCGATCGCCAGCAAGGCTCACTGCTAGAGAGGCGCCAGGTCGCGAGGTTGTAAGTCCACAGGATGAGAAAATAATGTGAAGTGCCACGTTCAACATGCTAAATGTCGGCTTCTGATCGCAGTACAGTATTGAACATAGTTGTACAGTGCTGAACATAGTTTGGCGACATGTCTTGGGCAAATTGATCAAGCGACTGGGTCGCTTTCGACCCTTTGGCGGCTGTTGCCAGAGACAAAGTAGCAACCAACTGCAAAACGCCACGGTAAATACACTGGCAAGCTGACTCTTCAAGATACTTCCCATGAAATTGTACCAGAAGTATCTGAGTTTGTTCCTCAATTCTGGACAAGGAGTCGCAACTTCGTGTGTTTGGCTGGTGGCACGAAGCTTGCACTACATAATATTCTCCAGCAACCAGTTGCAAGCGCCAGACCCTGTGTCACATTCGGGCACTAGAGCCGAAGCTTTTCGGAACCTCAGCATCTCGATCACATCTAACACAGCATCGACAACATGTGCATCTGTACTGTGCACCACTTTGTGCTCTCTCATGTGAGATCACACGGACGAGAATTGATTCACGGCCTTGCATGCGCCTTGTGCCACTTGCGCCCAGACTAGGTCAACGCAAGTGGCAGTCGGGGAGTCGGGCATAGCCTGTCCATGCCTTCACGCATCTCAAGGATGCATGGGCCAGCCCGTAAAACTAGACGATCCAGAGCGCAATTCGTTAACGGTTGATCTTGTATCGATCATATGGGAATGAAAATAAGAAAAATAAGGGTCCTGGCCAATAATGTGAGTTTCCCTTTGGTCTCCCTTTGAACTAAGGCCACGGTAACCCACGGATACAACTATGTTCCCCAAGAGGACGGTGGCAAATTGGGTGGTCCCCCTGTCTTTGGCTCCCCAAAGCAACAGTAGACTACCGATATTCGTTCATGTAGCCGTGCGAGCTTGAAACTGGTCTGTGTTGGAACACTGTCGGCGTCTGTTCTTCTTAATTTGTAAATTGGATTGGGAGCCGTTTGCGAACAAAGAACGGTCAGGTGCTGCAGAATCATTCCAATTGAAATTTGGAATCAGATCTGCGTTGCTTCACTTAGCCGAACGGGCCCTGGATGGCGCCTCTCTGCCAGGACTGTTGAGCTTCCAGGCGGAATCCGGAGAGGCCCTCGCGGCGAAGATTGCCCGCCCCAAACCAGGGTAGTTTTTAGCCAGCCGGAGAGGCTGCAAGGGCTCCTCCCTGGAGCTTACTGCGCCCGGCAAAGGTCACCTGCACAAGGCTCAGGCTTATGCGCAGGACCAGAGCCATCTTGCATCCCACTCCGATCACGGCAAGAATAGATGGCCGTAAGACAAAACGCAGTTGCATGCATTCTTCGGGGTGGTCATTACGTGCATGTCCTGCTTGCAGCGTCCACACTCGCTCGGGCACGCATGCATCATGATAAGCATGCCCGCACAAGCGCAGCGCTAATGGCAGTTCAGCTTCATCCTCCAAGCTCGCCCATGCGCGGGTGCATGCTCGTATCACAAGAAGCAACCCCGCCCACGCACTCGCACAGCGACAGTGCCGTACGCAGTTTCAAGCACAGAAAAAAAACACATTTCTCACGTGCGCCTACAGTCGCTCGTGCGCACGTGCTCGTATCACTGACAAGCACACCCACTCAAACACAGCGCTAGTGGAACATGTGGTTGCAAGACAGGAAAGCACAGCTTGCCCACGCGCATCGTAATATATTCATATCTGCGCGCGCAGTGGTCGCGCCATGCCAAGCAAACCAGCGGCGTTGGCAGTTCAAGTAATGACGCTCTCGTGCACGTGCTGCACTGGTGGGACGCGCAGTTTGAATCTGCGATAAGCAGGATTGATTCACGCGCGTGCCTTCTCGTGTGCTTCTGCTTTCGTCGCAACAAGCAAACCTGCACAGGCCCAGCGCCAGTTGCGCGCTTGTTTCAGAACTCATTCGTACACTTTCTTCACGTGTGCCCGAAATCGCGCGCACCTGCCTCTCATGCCCTTATGAACCGTGTGGCGCCAGTGGCACGCATACCTTCGCGCAATGGTAGGCACAACTCATTCACAAGCGTGCATGCTCGCATGCGCATGCGCATGGCAGGAAGTGGCTGAGCGAAGCTCGGACAAAAAGCCTAAAAAACTGTGCTGACAAGTAGTTGAGGGCGCTGCTTGTGTCAAGTGCTTGCCCATTACTGTGTGGCAGGCGAGTTGCATGCGTTTCCCTCCCTATCAATGCTCTCATGTCAAGCTCCCCAAAAACAGAAATGAGTGACCGCCTAGCAGTGAAGGCACAAATAAAGGTTGCGGGGCTCGGCTTTCAAGAAACCCTCATGGTCATCTATGAGCCGTGGATTGAGTCAGTGTGTTCAATAGCGGCTATGTCTGGGGCATCTGGTTAGTCCACTGAGTAGCCATGGTCGCAACCCAGTCTCCACTCCACGCAAACCCTGCCTCGCACATCTTCAAGGCAGAACGGATGGGGAAAATGAGGCCATTGCCCCAGAGCTACGCGCTACATCCAAGTCCCGTAACAAGGGCCGGGCGAAACAAAAAGATCAAACTTTCTGAGACTTTCTGTAGCATGATTCTCCAATTGGCCAAGATTTGATAACTAACGAGAGACGTGCCAAACTGCTTGCACTCAACTGATTTGATTGGGTGTGACGGGCTTAAGATTCCCTTGTGGCTGTGCGGGTGTGTCTGTGCCGCCATCAGGTTGTGTCACACTCGGATGCCATGACACACAGTGACACGTGGGCGACATGCCCAGAGGCGAAAACCCGGGCAGCCAAGATTCAGGGCCGTCCCTGCCTTGTAACAGTGGAAACATCATGTCGCTCAACACCCAACAGGCTCTTCATGCAGTTCAAGAGATGGTCAACAAGTTAAACCCGACCGACGAGATGCCCTCAGTTCATTGGACGGCCATCAGGAAGGTCTCGAGCTGCCCTGCCACTCTCAATTGCTACTGCTCGACTTGGTACCGAGACCTGGTACCCTCCAGGCTAGCTTCAAGACTTCGTAGAACTTCCTTCTTGCACTCAGTGCCTGATGCTCTACCATAGGCAGTGTGAGAAATACAGCAGCTATTTGCCACATGGTTGAATCCAACGACGCATGTGTTTGTGATCCCCACCATATCTTTGGCCTTACCTTGCTTTGGGGGTGATCCTATCTCGTTTTGAACCTAATTCCGTATGCTACCCCCAAAAAATGGGGTGCGCCAGCCTCTACTGTAGTCTTCTGTAAATGAAAGGAGTCGCTCATGTGCAGACCGCGCGAGATGACGTTAGCCCGTCCCTGCCTGGTGGCCTAGGCAGTAGTAGTCTCAGCAACCATGGTCTCCACCGCCTGCCAAGCAGTCTGATTCCTCAAGCCAATCTGGCATGGCGTTCACAGGCTCGGGCCAGCCAAGTTCTCAAACATGTTCAAACCAAAAACACGGGTGACCTGCATAGGGCGTCCCTCTACAGGGGCCCAGGGTCTGGCTGCTTCACGGTTTACCCGATGAACATTTGAGCTATCCGTGACTCCGCCTCTTCCTCGGGCTCCTCCTCTTGTGGCACCTGCTGTCTCAGGACCTTGACCTGGCCAAGCGCTACAAGTCTCTGGGACTTTCGGCACTGGAGTCCATTGAGTCCGCGGTAAGGCCCCCTGTTTTTGCAACTGGGCGTGTTTTGTTGAGGATAGCCCTTTTGGGTTGGGCTCCAAGGGAAATCCAAAGGAAAACCGCCAAATCTGTCTTTTTTTGGGGGAGTCTCACTATGTTGACGTATACCCAACTCATGCAACCCGCCGCAAGCGCAGCTCAAGGCAGCCACAAGATCTCAAGGCAGCGGCCCCAGGCCTCCCCATCCTTGTCTAGATCCACCAGAACGTTCTCACCTTCTGTCGAAGGCCGTGGACTCACTCACCCGAAAACAGTCTTCTTTGTTGTTGTTTGTGTGTGTTGTTGTTTTTTTCCGCATAGCTATTCCCTCGGCAGATCCAAACTTCAAACCCCGTTGCGATGCGACACGATGCGTCAGCCAAAATGATGCGCAAGATATGGGATGCAAGCTGCATGCAGTTGCAAAGTGATGGGGTAGAGGAGATCTAAGAGCCACCCGGCTATCTCAGCACCCTTTAATGTTGACCTTACACGGCAGGCACAAGGATCTCACTAGGCACTCGTTGGCCAAGCAATGGGCCTGTGCCAGGAAAACTGTGCTCTATCTACAGTCCCGAGATTGTCTCGGGCAATCTAAATACTTGAGATATTGGCTGTCAGGGCAACACTCTGGCGGCTGGACCCTTCTGCCCAATCCGCTCTTTGTGGCCATTACTTTACACTCAAAGAACTGATGCTGGGCCTCTTGTCGCACAGCTTGGCTCACACGACAACGGCAGCTTCCTTCTTGCATAAGCACCCGAGCCGGGTGACACCAATGCAGCGGTCCAAATCCGCACAGGAAGCAGCCCGCAGAGGGGCAATCCTGCAGCAAGCAACCAGCTTGGACCATGCAAAAATGCAAGCCGTCAAGTGGTTGTGGAATGAAATCCTCTCCGCTGGCAAGCTCTGTCGTTGCTCTTGCAGCAATACTTAGTGTGGCAGTTTCTCAAGCCTCCAAATGCCTCCAGTCTGCAAGCAGCCAAGATTCTGTAGACTGTGTGACAGATTGGCAGTCAAAGACGCCCACAGGCGGTTGAAGTCCTTGGACATGCCGAATGAAGTTCCACATGCAACTCAAATATGTAAACACGGATCTGCCGTATGGGAAGCTTATGAGGGCGTGTGAATCGATCTCCTGATGCCACTGTGACTTGGAAAAGTATGCTGGGAGGGCTGTATGCCTAGTGCACACGATATAGAAGCGCAATTGTCTGTGCGCGTACTGTTAACTTGCGGGGCGTGACAAGTGCTGCGAATCCCAGTGCCAAGCGCTGTGCCACGCTTCAAGTCAAAAAAGACTCCAAGCATTCCTAAAGGCGTACCAAAATCTGTGGTCTGTCCCCCAAAAATGCATTCTACAAGCGAGATGGAAGGATTCGATACAAACTTCTCGCTACAGCGGCACCCACGTACATCCAGCAAAGCGCTTCAGAATTCCTTTCAGATCCCAGGAAATGGCCATGAATCTTAATGGGAACGGCCAAGTCTTTGGACATAGCTCCCACGGTTTGCCGTCCACCAAAGGTGCCCTCCCAATCATACCAGCAATAACCGAACGCCTCATTCAAATGCCTCCAGGTCGCTGCCGGCTCTAGGTGCCTCCGTCTTTCTGAAGCCAGCAGTTGCCACGCCGCGGAGAAAGCAGCAACATCTTCGGCTGCCGCCGTCGCGTTCAGGGAGGAAGTCCTAGGCGTTGCTTTTTGCCTGTGTTTGTTTTGGCCTCTTTCTCAGAAGAACTTTCAAGAACTACTGAGGCTAGGTCAGGTAGCTCTAGTCTAAAGCCTAGACTCCGAAATGCAAATGCCATCAATGTGATAACACCATGCTGCTTTTGCACTTACAGCACTGTGGGACCCCTGCTTCTGACAACGAAGCTTGAGAGAACTGCTATGAACGTTGGGTAGCTCCCTCTAGAGATTGAACTGCTGATTGTACTCCTGTTCGCATCAAGTCAATGGCCTTGGGCATATTCCCAACATCGTTTTGCCGGGTCGGGTCTCCTCAGCACACCAGGATCCATGAGGCGCTGGTTGCTGTAGAATGGGCCCCGCTGCTTCTGCACATCCCAGAAGTGCGGCATGCCTGGGCAAATGGCGAGGAAAAAACATCGCAAGAGTCTTCAAGCATGTACGGAACGATCCAAGCGGCCATGATCTGTAGTGAAGCCGACATTGAGACCCAGAGACCAGACTAGCATCAAGCCGTTCCTCCGACACCAGCGCTGGACCCGCTCGCCCCGATCTGTGCCAAATAGGCTTGGAAACGCGGCAATGATGAACCTGAGCTCGCAGGCACGATCTTACATGCTCATGCCGCCGTGCTTGATACTAGTCTAGACAGTCAGCGGAAAAGGGCATCCCTGGCAAGGCTTCCTTTTCAGTGGCAAAAGAAGCTACATGCCATACCAGCCCATCTATGCGGCAAGGCAGACTTGTAGCAAGGCGCTTCACATGGGTGAACTCGACTCGTGCAGTTGGAAGCACCTGGCAAGTGCAGGCCTTGATGCTTCCGGTGTTGCCGGCTCATAAATATTGAACCGTATGGTGAGTTAAGATCAAAACCCAGTATCAAGGGAACATGCCCAGAATCACCACAGCAGGCATCTTTATGGGAGTGCCCCCCCTCCCGTCCTTTTTATCATGCAGATTTGGATTTTGGCTGTCCCATTGCTTTCCAAACGAGCGGCGCCAAACAACTCTTGTGCCCTGGGCTTGCTTTCGCGGGCCCTTTCGCAACGCTTTCGCGACATGTGTTGCCTTTGCGCGCCTCCTCTGGGCGCTTTCGCGGGGCCTTCATGGCGGACCTTCTTTCGGCACATTCGCGACAGCTTTCGCAAGCTTTCGCGGCCGTGTGGCTTTCGCGGGGGCTTTACACGCGTCCCTTCACTACTTTTCATTCGCAGGCTGAGGGTTGTTTGGCGCAAGAACTCCTCCCCTTTCCCCGAAAAGCTTTCCACACCAAGAGATTTGTTCGTTGGTTCTTTCATGTTCCTTCCACTCACAGGTGCCAACCAGGTCCCCCCGAACTCGACCATCGACACCTCGAAGTACTGCACAAAGTTCTCGCCCACCAGCCCGGTGGAACCTTCCGGGCCCAGCAAGCGCGCCAGCGGCTGCAGGAAGGCCTGCGAGTCGGGACTCCATGGCCCCTACCCCGCATAAATCAGCCCTCACAGCGAAGGCGCCAGCCGAAACCTGTTCACCCAAAGCCCCGAGAGGATGTTTCATGGACGATCACAGCCTCCGGCTTGGCCCAATACCTCTCGTTGATCTCGAAGAGATGATCGAAGGCCTCGCATTCTCGGCCAGTCAAAGCTGAAGCCAAGACCACCCCGAGCCTGGAAGGTGCCAAGACCACCGCGTCCAGAGAAAGCACTGCAGTTGTGTGCATAGCCTGAAGCACGCGACACACGCGACAGACGCGACGCTTTGGGGCACCTTGCAAGCGACCCGAAGGCTTGCCCAAGGTCTCTGGCATGTCTCACCAAGTTCCTTCAGGGGGGTGCTTGGGCCTCTCGAAGCTTTCGTCATGTCCGAAGTTGAAGCTTTGTCCAAGCTGCTGGTGTTCGGCGTCACAAAGGAGTGGTTGCACAAACCACTCCAACTGCCAGAGTCAAAAGGCGAAAGGACCTGAGTGAGCATAGGACAGCTCTGAAGCGGCCACCGAAGGGGACACACCGTTTCCATCTGCACCCAAGTGTTTGGTGGGCATTCTACGTTTGGAAGATGGGGTCGCCTGTGGCAATCCGTGAAAAACGGCAAACTGGCCGTCGAATTTGCACTGAGCATCAGCTGAGCATGGCCGAGCTGCGGACACCCGACGTGCGAAGCTGGGCAGCAAAACCACCGACACGTCGCCGTAGAGCGGAGACCCCTCGTCCACACGCAGAGAGTTCAGCAGAAAGTACGCGCTCCGCTCTCTTGCCTGGCCACTGGCCATGGAAAGGCTGCAAATGGGTCCTAAAAATTCGGCACGTGTGGAACGGGGTGGAGGGAGAAGCGCAAACATGTGGACCGGAGACATCGCCCCGTTCCCAATCTGCGACGTTTCCACGAATGAACTCTCCCAGGGACAAGCCCCTGTTTCGATCCCAGGTTCACGGGGTCCTGATCCCAGGTTTACGGGGTGCAAGTCCCTCGGCCAATCCCCGACGCCTCCGCCATGCTCGTTGGGTGGGCATGCTCCTGGCAGGTTCTCCCCAAGAGCCCATCGACATGGATACCGCAAGTGCCACAGGGCTGCAAGCAAAACTCGTCATGTCAACCAATGCTGAAATTGTACAAAATGGCGACGACCGTCCTGAAAAGGCTTCATGCCAAAATAGCTGCTTTCTACCCAGTCCAAGCAGTGAGTGTAGTTGTTGAGCTGGGCGTGATTTCTCACCCAAATTTCCCACCTCGAGCAAGGGGAGTCGCGCGCTTTCCGTGTCAGAAACCAAGCTGAACCAAGGCGCAGGTTCTCATAGTATGTGACCTTCTCGGCCTCATCCAATGAGAAGGAAAAGAACGAAGCGTTGACCTGGCGTCAAAAAGCGGCAAGCCCATCGTCAGCCAGGGGCAAGTAACATCAACCACATTTCAAAGCAGATGGTGGACGAAATCAATTGAGCACTCGAATTAGCGATATCCAAGCCTACACTTGACAGAATCAGCTAGAACCCAGATCAAGCTGCACCAGCAGGCAAAGCGAATGGGCAACAGCTGCAGTTGCAGCTG